AATTGAGTTTGGCTTTAACTGGAATGTTTTAGTCACATGAAATAACGGCTTCAATAAGTGTTACCAATTCTGACATTATTTTTGTATTTTCTCTCTTTTTAAAACACTATGCCCATCTATTTCTGCCATTAAATTTAAGGAAAACTAACGAAAAGTTAAAAAAAAAAATCGTATTTTTAATGAAAAATGACAAATAAAGTTGTAGTGAATAGTATCAGGAAAAGGTAAAAATGTGATTTTTCGTTAAAAGTGAACAATAACGGAAGTGTTTCGTTAAAACTCCCTTAAATTTAAAGTGGAGCAATGTAGATACATAAATAACTTTTACAAATTAAAAGATCTCATCTTATTGGAGATAGCATTTGTAGATGAACAAGGGGAAGGGAAAAAAAAAAGCAATTTAAGTTGGTTTTTGTTAAGTGAAAGGAAAGACATAAAATGGCTTGGGACTTTAGACTTTTTTGAAAGTTGAAGTTTGAGGAAGCCTAAAGAAGTTGAAAAGTATGTTTTAAAGTTTGTGCGTTGAACTTTGAACATCATATAACATAAATGAGACATCATATACTAAGAAATACTCACACCGAACACTTTACTCAATATCAAAACACGTCATTTACTCTGTAAAAGTCACTTCTTTATAATATAAAAGCATATATTGGGTTGTTTACTAAATAACAAACTACTTCGTAAACGTGCTACTAACAAAAGTATTTATAGAGAAGCGTTCTCAAACAACCCAGTATCATCTAGTTTTATATATATTTCTTCCTAATAATAATGAAATATAGAGAAGTGCTCTCAAACAACCCCTAACAAAGAAATACCGAAATAAGAGAGGTCTTTTTTGGCAATTTGATTTCCCTTTCAAAATTGATGATAAGTGCCTCGTGGTGCAAGAAGCATGGGATGATGACGACGATGGTGATGACGGATACGATTATGCCCCTGTAGCAAGCATAGAAGGTAATGGCAATGACGATGATTCAAATTATGACTGTGCTCCAGCAGCATCTATGAAAGGTAATGATGGCGACAACAATGATGGTGGTTATGATTATGCACTTGCTGCATAAGAAATTAGTAGTTTATTTTTCATGTTTCTATGCAGGCTGACTAGCTTTAATGAATTGAGGAATTATAGCGTGCTAGTAAGATTGCTCAATCCCTTCGAATTTTTTCGTTAAGAGTCGAAACTATTTACGAAGTGCGTTCAATTTAAGTCAATTAGTTGTTGTCTCTGATGACATTAATATATGGTTAAATATGGAGCAAAATTGTGCAAGCTTAACTTGTTATTATTAGGATATACTATTTCTTTCCTAGCATACTAAAAAGTACCACAATATATATGGAGAGGAAGATAATAGAATTCTTAGAGACTAATTAGTGGTCATGGGAGTGCAGGGATTTATCAGTTTGTCGGATACACGGCTTGGTATAACAAATGTCAAAATATAATTAGCTTAAAAAATTTTTAAAAAAAATTAACTAATTGTATTATAACACTATATGTATCAGACCGTGTTTCTAGGATATTAAAAAATTTCTCATAGAAGTGGGCACATTGAAAGTGTTATAAGTGTTAAGGGTAATAATCCAATGGTAGTAAAAGATGACACTTGTCAAAAGATAAAGAAGGTAGAGAAGGTAGTTAGAGTTGGTTATGTTGTGACTTAGGCAGTAAGATTTGTAAAAGATAGTATATAATCTTGAGGCTGTAAGATTGTAAGTAAGAAAAATATAAAAACATCAGTTGAAGAATACTCTCTCTCTCTCTCTCTCCCTCTCTCTCTTCATATTCTTAGAACAATACTGTGAACTTCTTCCTGTAATCACAGCTTGGTTAACAATAAGCACGTTGTACTAATTAATATGTTATTTTGGAATGATTAAACCCCAATTAATAAGAAAATTAAGAAGAAGAAACGAAGTAGCCACTACTAGCAAAGGCAAGGAGAAATCGTAAGGTGGAAGAAATCATAAGATGAAATATTGGATCGGGATGTGAGTGGAGTACACGTAGGAGTTCTTGTATATATCTGAGTGCTATGGCATTGCTCCATCCACTTTTTCCTTGCCCTGCCCGACTTGTGTCAAAACTGTATCGCTCTATCCCTACTTTTTACCTTCCACATTTCTAAATAAAGATCGATATGGTCTACAGTTCTACTTTCACTGTTGAATATGATCAACAGTCTGTAGTTATTTTAAGAGAATTTTCAAACAATCATTAGAATATCAATAACTTTTTCTGTAAGTATTCACTATTAAGTCTCTCTAAACGCTAAAAATACAACAAAGACCGTACATGTATATAAACGGTGGTCTCTTCTTTTCTGTTTGGAAGTATTTTCTAGGTAGAAAATTCTATATGTTTCTTATATTATAGATCCGTAGGCAACCAGTCCATATGAAAATTGAAATTGTGTTTATCATATGATGACATGAAGTCAATGCTACAAAGAATAAAATGATTCCTCTTGAGCTAATGTTACATTAAATAACAAATATCTAACATGTATGTCTTGAGCTAAATGATGTTACATAATCAAATAGTACCATACGATCTTCAGAATCATTTTTCTAATTCTCCATTTAAGAACAAATCCTGCAAAAAATCAACCAAATGAGTAATAGTTTAACCACTGATTAAAGTCGTCAAAAATTTCAAGGTTTATTGAATAACATAATTTATCTATTTATTACATATCTATCAGATTATTACAAGGTTTCAAATTTGGTTAAACTTTAGTATAGTTCATGCTTAAAGGGTAACCTCGAAAATAAAAAGTTTAAATCATGTTTAAAGCGGCTCCTGCTTTTCTTTTTCACTTTGTTTTTTTTTCTTTTTCAAAAAGCAGCTCTCGCTTTGTTTTTTTTTTTTTTCTTTCGAAAAGCAACCCCTGAAAAATTCACCGTCCTATTATGTGGAAAAGTAGCTCTTGCTTTACGTTAAATGAGAATTAGTTTGGGTTTCAAAAAAAAAAAATAATAAGAATTAGTTTAATCATTGATTAACATTAATTAATTTCATATATTTACTTGAATAACATAGTTTATCTATTTATTATAAGAAAATATTAAGGAAACTCTTTTAAAAATGAGAATCTTTATGAATTTTCCATCATCTCATATTTTTTGCACAATATTTTATTATGTTGGCATAGAAATTGTGTAAAAAATACGTGAAACAACGGAGAGTCAATGAAGACCCCACTTCGAGAGAATCTTCTTAGCATTTCTCTTTATTATATAAGGGTTTTTTTTATTAGCATCTCATATATTGTTGAATACACCCTACAATAAATTTAATACTAGATAACTTATTGAACCTACTACGCAATGAGAATTTCAACCTTAAAAAAATAAAAATTTGTACGTACATCCCAAATCATTTTAACTTATATATTTCAAGATTATTTATCTTCTTCTACTCTCAAAAAAAGATGAATGTTCTTGATGACCCTTAGATGAAGGCACTGGTTTTTGTTGACAAAGCTCTCACTTTCTTATTAAGCAAAGAAAACTGTCATGAAGTGGTGATGTCAATGCATCTCCAAGAACATGGAAGGAAGTCATAACTTGTTACAAAACATAAACAATGCCCATCAATGCAACAAATCATTTTAGGTTCATTTGCAAGCAATAGAAACTGCACTAAAATATCTTAGCTTACTTGAATAATGTTAGTGGGAGAGTCATCCACAATCACATTGAGATGGAGGTATCATCTCCTTACTTTCCTCAGGGCTGTTCTCCAAAGATGAGGATGGAGAACCAAGTCCAAGACCACTATCTAGTGCTACATTCTTCCAAGTTGTGTTATCAAGGTTCGTTTTGATTCGAACCTTCAATATCCTTTGATCAGTTGGATTACCCTATCTGTTTGAAGTTTCATCTTTCAAGGCAAATATGAATTACGTTTAACTGAAATGTTTCTAGGGAGGACCATTGAATTAGGTGACAAATGAGCACTGTTAGCAGCTAAGCCACCTTGTACAATACCAAATAAGTTCTGCTCCGTTGGTCTCTTGTGAGCTGTTTATTAAAGCAATCCAGGCATCCAAGAGCTAGACATACCTCTTGGCTCTCTCCATATGTCTCTCTGCACACACATCATGATGTTGAAACAAGAAGGATACTTCCATGATCTTTCACTTGCACCTACGTGTGAAGAGTGTGAAGTGTATGTAGAAATGTCGAGTGTAGAAAATACAAAGTGTATGTTGAGAGTGTAGGGTGTGAGGGTATTATGGGAAAGTATGTGGGGTGTATTAAGATAAATTTGACTTGAAAAAGAAAATATGAGGTGTAGTAAGTATGTGGGGTGTATTCAAAATACGTGAGGTGTTAATATAACAAGCCATTATATAACCGTTAGATTACAGAATTTGGTTAAACTTTAGTATAATTGATCTTTAAGGAGTAATATCCAAAATAAAATATTTAAATTACGAGATTGCAAAATAAAAAAACAAAACAAAATCGTAGAGCGCAAAAATTTAAATGAGAATGTAACCAATATTGGTTTGGAATTAATATAATAGAAAATAACTTTTTTTTTTCAATGAGTATCCTCTTCGGATCCTCTTTTTGAGGATTCAAAAGATTTTCAAATCGTACATCATGCGGTCAGAAATTATTTTAAATTAAATATGAATAGTACCTGATAAAAACTGTCCATATTAATATGATAAACGAACATGATTTGAGAATTCCCAAAATTCTAGTAAAGAAGAACCGAAGATGACCCTCCTAGCTTTTCCTTAATGTGAATAAAGCATCTTTCTGAGTTTCCAAGAATCTTTTAGATAATCTTTTGTCATTTCGTGCTCCTTTCTTACTTTCCTCTTTTCCTCTCTCTTTCCGTGCAACTTTCCCGCCTAGAAGTATGTTGTTTCTCCAGTGGAGAAGGATTCTCTTCCTTCTTTTTTTTCCTCTCCCCTTCCATGCCTTCTTATTTAAACGATCACGGTTAAGCCACGTCAATATGTATATTAATTTTTATAAAAAAAGAAAGACAATATAAAGAGTGAGATGACGGGATAGAAGGGAATGACAAGAGGAGAAGAGAGAATTCTAGTCCTTCTCAAGTCACTAACTAAACATTATTATATTATAAACTTTTGTTTTTGTTGATTGAAGGATCTTGACTTGGGTTTAGGTATCTAAGTGTCATCGGTTCGGCAACACAAACACAACCACTGCCATATTTTTCAGTCTTAATCTGAACCACTGCAGTGCCATAACGGTGGATACTGCTATGACAGCCCACGAAGCTTCCTCTTCATCCTCCTCCACGTCAAAACTTTGGAATTCTACGGGTGAAGTGATTGTTACGACCACGAAGAAACGACGACTCCCAATAACAGTACATGAAGTGATTGTTACGACCACGAAGAAACAACGACTCCCAATAACAGTACATGATGCTGATCCTCTAGGCCTAGCGCATTTACGTCTTTCCTTGTCTCTTGATACTCTCCCTGCAGGCCGTCATATTCGACCTCGCTCACGACAGCGTCACTCTCAACCTCGACCACGTCCTCATCATCTCCCAGTACTTCTCCAGCGGCAGCCACAGTATCCAGCGGTCAGTAACAGTGAAGAGCAGATATCCAACTCAATTGACGATGATCCTCTTGCGGGCCTTTGCAAATCCTTTCCATGTCTTTCTTTGTCTCCTGATCATCAATCCACTTTCTCAGGCCACATTCAGCCGGACGCCTGACTCTGTTGGCCTTCACCATTTGGAGAGAGCGAAAGGCTAATCAATTAATTCCCTTCTCCTGATTTTCCTGAGACATTGAAGATGAAAGGTCAGTTATACATTGTAAAACCAAGACAAAACAGAATCACTGAAAACGTACTGTTTTGACTGTACGTAACCAGGCATTATATAATGAATGTAAAAGAAGCATGTAGAATCATGTGCTGCATTACGGGTATATTTCTTGTCTAAATCCAACAATGACCATACCATATGCGATGCAGGAGCCAACTTAATGAATTAGAGTCCTAGTGTCTGATGTACTAAATGCAGTTTACAGATGTACTCTGCAGGTTCATTGCCTTTGAGTCTCTCTATGTTACGAGATCAATGTATTAGGTGTTCATAAATTAGTCTTTAGAATTCCAAGTATATTAATGTGAATCTTTCCAGATCCATGTAAAATTAGCTTATAAAAGGAGCTACTTTGTAAGCTTTTGGATTTCCTGCGTATGTGTGAAGCACAGGTTGACTTGGAGTGATTCCAAATTTCCAGTCACCTTCTTTGTGATGCCAGAATTTATCTAATTGCTCTATTGGGGTGATTCCAATGCACCTTTGGCGTGATGCCAAAGGCCACACTGTTTCCGGATCTCTCTTTTGTTCCCATCTCTTGTTATTGTTACATACTCTAGATAAGATATATGGTCAATAGTGCAATCAAAAACCTTCTTCTAAGAATAAGACAATTATGCATCCAAGTTAAAGAAAATCAAACCCCTAGCTTCACCAACATCTGGATTTCCTGTCTCTAAGGATTGAAACTGTCTTTACTGAATTCGGATTACCGCACCAAAATTTGTGTCTAGGATTAGATGAAGAGAGCAAATGGACTAGATACTTAGCTCAGCAACGTGATACCCCAAGACCAATAACTAATGCAAGTTAGAATGTACCAATCAAATAATAGGGTTTAAGGAATGCATTTCAGAATACTTAATACCAAAAATGTTGATTCCAAGTTGAGCATGGATTGGAGAGAAGAAGCTATCCACAAAGTGAATAAACCACCACGCGATATAGAAAGTGATCGCTATTGGAAATACGACACACTGCAATGGAACAAAGAGTGAGCAGCTAATATGATATATATGAGCAAAAAGCAATCTCGAAGAAAGAGAAGGAAGCCTTGATCTCATTAGCTACCGCATTAAACAGATGCATCAAGAAAAATCCACACACACCTGACAAATTAGCGTAAAACTACATGAAATGGGCTCAGTCTAAAACTTATAAGAGGCTAAGTTGTACATTTGTTGAATTCAACTAGCGAGGGCTATTCCTTTGCCTGTAAGATAACTCCTAGCGTTCAAACAAATGATATACTTCTGCTTTCAGAAAGAGAGAAAAATAGATTACAAATACATGGCAACGATCTAAGTTTAAGTTCCTATCACTACTAAAGCATTGCCTCTTTCAGCATACCTCATGGCTCAAACTAATAAATTTAACAACTACTCTCAGCTCTAAATCTTAAGAATAATCAGAAATTCAACAACTTTAATTCGCAACCTATGCAAAAACTTTCAGCTTTTCCCTCGAATTTTCCTTCATTTTCTTAGCAACCAAACACAACACTAACACACAAAGCAATGAAATTTGAAACAGAAATCGAAACTCACCTCGCGGCCTGTGTGGTGGGAGGAGGTGAAGATGGGGAGGGTTTAGACGATGCGTCTTCGTCGCCGGAGTCGGCCACCGGAATGAGAAGCTCACAATCTCGCGGTAATCTGTCTCTGCTCGCCATTCCTTTGTATTTTGGCATTTCGAATATTTTGTTTTTATTTAATTAAATTTAATTATTATTTTAATTGGGTGAGGATTATTTAAGAAAGAAAATAGTTAATCCTGTTTTTTCAATTATTTAAAAATATAATAATATAGTGGAGATTATTACATGCATGTGTGGACTTCGAGGAAATGTCGTGTTCTGTTGTGCCGTTAATTAAACAAGATGCTGATTAATTAACGCTGAATCTCCAACACGATCCTTTCAGGATTGATGAGAAGTCTGACAATTTTGTAATCGTGTTCTTTTATAGTATATTATGCGATTAGTTTTTATCAGTTACTCTTCTCAATTTACTATGAACAAACATGATTCATCGATCTCAAAAATCATCACAATGAGGATCTGGTGAGGATCCAAATTCGCTTAAACTCTCTGAGTGCGTTTGTTTGAGTGGATTATGGAGGACTGAACTAGACTAGATTAATTGCTAGTGTAGTCCCATGTTTGTTTTGGACAAGGATTAGGTTTAATGAGTCGTTAGAAGGTATTAGCGAAGCCCACCAAAAACGAAGGTCTTAGCTAATCCCGTCTCTCCTCTCCCCTTCACACCTTCCCGCATCAGTTGCTGCTGCAGCAGCCGCTCTCTCGTCGTCTTCTTCTGCTTTGCACCTTCGCCAGCTCCCCTCTCCTTCCTCGTCGCACCGCCTCATAGCCGTGAAGCATGTAGATGATCAACGACGGACCTGCATCGCCCACGAGTTTGATGCTTTCTGTCGCATCGCCAGATCGGAGTTCTAGAAGTAGATGGAAAAGAAATACACAGAGGGAGTCAAGAGTGTGATGAAGACGAAATTTGGGTCCCGCTTTCTTAATTTTGAATTCTGAATTGGGTTTTCTGCCTCCCTACATAATATTGGTTTCTCAAGTACTGTTTGATTTCTTGCTTTTCATTTGATGGGTTAATCGATTGGAATTCTGGATTTGTTTGCTGGATTCGTTTCTTTGATTTGGGTTTTCTTTTTTTAGTTTTTTTTCTCTCTCTTTTTGGTGAATGATTTGGGTTAGTGTTCATTTGCTAGATCCGTTTCCGAGTTCAAAGATTTTGATGCTTTTGATGTTGTATTGAATCTTAATTTGTTGATTAATAGCTTAAAGTTACCAACTTTATTTCTGGAATTGGTTGATTCTTAATTTATACTGGGTTAAGTTTCTTCTGGATTTGGAACTTTTTTAGTAGAATTCATGGATTTTGATGATCATATGCAAATAAGCTGCATAATGTTTAAAGGGTTTGTATCTGTTGTCTCATTATCCTGTTTTCTAGTCCGGTACTACATCAAACGCTTCATTAAGCTAGTCCAGCTTAGTCTAGTATAAACCAGTTCAGTCTGAGACAGTCCGATATAACAAACGCACCATCTTTGTTTCTCAATTTTTACTATATATTGATGTTTGATGAGCTGTCTTCCAATGATTGGATGCCAGCATTTTTGCCTTGCAATTTGGTGTTCTTTTTTGGCAATAAAATATGAGAAATGCTAAGGGCATGTTCATATATATATATATATATATGACAAGAAAAATTTTGCATGTATATGACAAGAAAAATTTTGCATGTATTTATAAGTAGTTAGAGTAGTATCTATATTGTCAACTAGTTTCATGGGCAATAACCTAACTATTTATAAGCATATGTAAAATTCATATTTCCATCAATATGAGATTCATTTTTAGTAGAGACATGCAATTATTGAACATAAACTCAATTTGGTAGGCAGGGACAAAGTTGTTATTCTAGTAAACTGATGTCCAAGAAACTATGGTTTTGTGAGAGTGGGGAAAACGGGGTTTAATCTAGCATGGGGGCAAACTTCTAAAGGAAAATATGTAGAATCTCAACTTTCTTCATGACCATGCAAACCATGACGCTTCTCATCATCCCCAGCACACAAATGAGTACTACTACAGATGAACCGAAATGGGAAAGGCAAAAACACAAAGCATTGCACTCTCGCACAGACCACACTCGACGTCGTCATCAACCTCTTTCTCATCTTCCCAGCTCGACTATTCGGATTTTCCCTTTGCATGCATCCTTCAAAGTGTCCAGTAGCATCAGATGAATTGGTCCTCATTTTATAAACAATTAATTTGTGATATTCACTAGTTGTTTTTGTTATTTGGAACATGAAAAGCAAACTCTGTTTGGCTGATGAGGTTTCTCGTCATGTTGTTCATCAGCAGTTGATTTCATCCTCTTGTTTCGACATCTGCTAGCGTTTTAGCCACCATCTGGACTCGGTCTTGTTAGAAATTTTGAGTAGATATTTCATTAGCTCGTATTGGTCACCATCAAAAGCAGTGGTGAAGCCATGAATTGTTGAGATTAGGGCAAAATATAAAAGGGTAAACAATTTTAAAATACTGTTAACAACCAAATCATTTTAATAGTAGACAATATTAATGTCGTTCATAATTTATTAATACAAACAAGTTATGAATGTTGTCGTCAATGTTTCATCACTTTTATGTCATGAAAACGTTGCATACAAAGCTCATTAGCAATAAAAATACAAAATTTCTCTCTCAATGTAAACAACCAATTAATCTCTTATTTCGTAATGTAGTGGTGTTTGACAATTCATAACCAAATACACAAAAAATAACTTAGTCAAACGTCACTATTTGTGATACAAATCCAAAGAAAATTAAAAAAAAATTGATGGGTGTGAGTGCTAGATGAAGACACCTAGCGGCTAATTTGTTTGATGTTACTGCATGGTAATCAAGTGTCAAACATGCAATCTCTCTTTACTTGTTTTTTAATGAGTTAATGCAAATCGCTCGATGTATTAATTGGTACATTCACTCCCTCTTGTTTCACACATCTTCATAATCTATCCATCTTCTCTAATGGGTAATGACTTCCATCACCTTTGAATTCACCATTAAAAACCAACCTTTCCTCAAAGTCCATGATGATGACACAATGAAGCGGCGACAATTAGAGTCATATGTGCCCCCATATCCTAATCAAAATCCGTAAAATTGGTGTCTTCTCTAAATACATCACCATCTCAGACAACCCCAACATCTCGGCTCACCTTTACCTCCCATACATCCATCAAAACAAAACCTAAAAGCTCCCCATCTTGGTTTACTTTCATGGTGGAGCATTATGTGTGTTGCCTGTCTTTGGACTCTTCACCCACCGCTGTCTCAATCGTTTTGTCTACATGCCTTTGAAAAGAAATGCACCGTTTCATTTAATTTTATTTTTCGAAGCCCAAAACGATGTCGTCTTTTGTCTGGGTATAAACATAAAAAATAACACCCTGCGCGTAGGTAAGCTACGCAGCAGCATAGAGAACGAGAAGAACCACCGTCTTTTTTCCAGTTTTCGCTCAAAGCAAAGGGGCTTAAGACTCCTTCATGGGCTTGTTTTCCAGTGAGCGGAGGGGTGGCCGCCTCATCGCTTATATGTAGCTTTGTCACTGACTAAAATGTTCCCTCACTTTATAAGGCTTTGTCCTTTTTAGAAAGTAGGACTGATGGACCATAGATAATAAAATTAGGCTCAACCTTAGATATGTGCTTTGGGGTGTGCTAATTAATTATCAAAAGATGGGCCTTGGATTTGAACTCGTGCTCTAATAATTAGATTCTTTAATTATTTATTTTTTTAACTAATTTTAGAATCGATTAATTAATTAATTTTTATATCAACAGACTCATTTTTTTCAGATGAAGTCTAAAGCGATGAAAGAATACCAAAAGCAAAGCATCCCTCTAAGAAGATGCCTTTAGAGGAGAAAACCAATTTTATATATACATCCATCTGCATGACATTTAGAACACAGAAAAATCAAACTCTTCTTCTACAATCCCAAACCTTCTTAAGAAATTCGCCAGAAGTCTAGTTTTCTGGTGCTGGAATCTCGACTTAGATCGTTGAATCCTGGTGAAGCAGACGTCCGTAGAACTACAATCACAGAGTAGAGACGAAATTCTGTTTCAAGGACATTACGGTACGCAAGCCTCGATCCTTAATTTGTTTGTTTAATATTATTTCATATTTTTTTTTCATACTTTGTTAAATTATTTGTTCGCATTTATTATTTATTAGCGTATATAAATTTATCATTGATTGTTGATATTTATCCAACAGTCTTAACTCTCTTTTTCACTTTTTTTTTTTATATAGAAAAACAAATGTGTCCCGTTTCAAATATTAGCATTGCCTAGTGGTGCAAGGAAGCATGAAGATACGGTAGAGATGATGGTTTGATGCAAGCTAACTAGCTTTGATGAACAGAGGAAGGTAAATGTTAAGGAGAATTTTTAAAGTGAGATTTTCTATGAACTTTCTATCACCTCACATTTTAATTTTAACTTTTGTACTAACATTATAAAACATTGTGCCAAAAAAATGAGGAGGTATAGAATCCATGGAAAGTCTCACTTTTGTGAGAGCCTCATTAACATTTCTCATTGAGGAATTATGATGTGCTGGTAGGAAGGATTGCTCGATCCCTTCGAAATGTTTTGTTAATGGTCGAACTAATTACAATGTACCTTTAGTTTAAGTCAATTGGTTGTGGGCTCTGGTGATATTAATATAGGGGTGTGATATCCACATATATCTTTTTACTTTTCACACACCTTTTGTTAGATCCGACATTGCCCAGGGAAGTCGATCCTATATGTCTTATATGTATATTCTCATTTCTTCCTAGCACGAGGCCTTTTGGAAACTCACTGGCTTCGGGTTCCATGGGAACTCCGAAGTTAAGCAAGTAGCGCACAAGAGCACTCCCATGATGGATGGCCCACTGGGAAGTTTTCGTGTGAGTTCCCAGAAACAAAACCGTGAGGGCGTGGTCGGGGCCCAAAGTGGACAATATTGTGCTACGGTAGTGGAGCGGGCCCGGGATGTGGTGGACCCCGGGCGGGGATGTGACAATTTGGTATCAGAGCCAATCCCTGGCCGGAAGTGTGCCGACGAGGACGTCGGGCTCCTAAGGGGGGTGGATTGTTAGATCCCACATTGCCCAA